GAGAGATGCATACTACAGGGCCACTGAGCAGCCATGCTGGGCCGGCTCTTTTCCTGCAAGAACTGAGAAGCTTTAAGGCTTCCTTTGCTGGCAAACACCTTTTCCCTGTCATCTGTAATAGCTTTCTAGCAGGCATCAGAGAACAAAGGTGACACAGCCTTCACCCAGTGTCTCTAGGCTGGGTTTTGAACCAAGCCACTTGGTGGTACTTTGCCAGCTTCCAAGTTACAGGAGTAGTTCACAGCATGAATTCAAAAATTTGCTCAAAATGCTTTGGTTAGGATGCTGTGGTCCATGGGCTTCACCCCCCCAGATGACAGTCCTGTGTCACTCTGAATAATTGCTGGGAGAACTTCTCTCTTTGCATTGGCTGGAGAACCCAGGACAAAGCACCTACTGCATATACCTAGAGGTAGCAGCATGAATAATAGAATCATAGAATGGTTTGGGTTGGAAGTGACCTTAAAGATCACCTAGTTCCAGCCCCGCTCCATGGGCCGGAACACTTCCCACTAGATTAAGTTGCTCAGAGCTCTAATCCAGTTCATCTGTAACTTTCTCCTTGGTGCCTTAATCATGAATTAATGAATGTAACTGTATTTTTCACATTTCTCACTCTGGTCACCTTATAGAGTGTTTTTGAATTGGCTTGTGATAATCTTGGAACAGTTTAATACAGAGTCAGAATACTGATGTCATGGGACATCACTAAAGAAGGGGAAAAGTGCCCCGCAGAAGCATTGTTTCTTTCTGACCCAGACAGTAAATGCCAGAGGGATTGTTTATGCTGTGTGGGTGCTGTCTTTAACCACTACCATAGATCTAGATGAGGAGGATTCAACAGGACTATCAAGTCTTTTGTGGATGAGGGGGTACCTGAAAGTATTTGCAATCAAATCCAGCTCATACAAGCCATAGTCACTTAGGTGCGAACACCACCACTGAGCTCATACACAAAAGCTTCTCCTTAAACCTTTAAAGAGGACTTTAAATGGAGCATTAATGGTACAGAAGCTATAGGACTGGCCCTCAGAGCAGGTATGGTGTTCATCATGTACTGCAGATGTGGGAATTAACCTGTTAGTGCAGTACCGAGGTACTAGAAAATGCAGAATTATTGCTGTGTCAGAGGAGAGTAAGTGTCCTTTTTCCTGTACTTCAAAGCCAGTTGAGTTTTCACATTTAGTTTTAACCTTGTGCTTCATTTTCTTGGGGTAGGATTTATTTACAAGATTTTAGGGATGGATTCTATGATTCTGGTTTTTTTTACATTCAAGTATAATGTGATTTAAGATGCCCTGGACCAGTCCTGAAATTTACAAGGATCTTGCAATAATTATCTGGACCTGGAGGAGATCTACATCTTTTCAGACCTACATTTGCACATGATACTGGGTATCCTGGGCCCTCTCAGCTGGCATCCAGCTTCTATCTTTAAACAACTCCATAGAACCTAAGCTGTTTGAAAGCTGGTAATTTAGATTTTGGAGAAAACATGGAACTGAGATTACCACATGAGACAAGATAGCAGACTTTGAGATAGGTTCAGGGTTCAGCTGAGTTGCATCCAGAGAGAGATGCATTTCTACCTGAAAACCCAGGACATCCACAAGAGGCTAACAGGTAGGGTTGCTCTTATTTTCATGAAGGCCCATTTATTTCTGTGTCTTGAGGACAGTCTGGTTGTCCTGGACTCCCTGGAGGATCTCAGATCCTGTAAGCTTTTGTGAGGGCAGCTCAGTTGCGCTCTTGCTCTCCACAGACTTCACCACATAGACCCCTCTTTCTTAGACACCCAAAATTAGGCATGCACATTTGGAGCTGAACCCATTTCTTGATTTGAATGAAATGAATCTTATCTCTGGAAATCAATTTATTTGCTATGAGTTTAAGAAATTCATTCTTAAAACGATAACAACATGAATTATTTTATTTTGAGGATTCTTTCAACATGTCAGCATGCACCTTCACAAACCCAGCACAATGCTACACACATGCTTTTTCACCATACAATTTAAGGCATTTTGTTTTCACCCTCTCTTCTCTTTTTTTTTTTTGCTGTTTTATTCTCCCTGCAAATTATAGCTAAAATGGACTGTTTCCTAGAGAGGAATACACACGTATGCAGCTGAGGCATGGACAAATTTCTCCTGGCGTTAGTTGGGCTTTTATTCAGAAATGTGTATATGGCCCCATGGGGAAAAAAATAATGAAGAGATATTGTGGTAGAAAATAGTTGTTAAATGAATTTTGCAGTTCTATTGGCATTTGTAAAGTGCAACATCTCTAGTAAATGCTTTAGCCTCTTCCAGGTGTTTGCTGCAGCACAAATGCTCAAACCTTTTCCATGTTAAAGGTAAAATTAGGTTAAATATTGCTGGTTGTCTGCAAGGGCGAGGCACTGAACAGTTGCAAATCATATGAGCTTCAGGACAGGGCCTCGTACAAAATTGTCTGAGGGATCCCAGATGCTTGTAAAGTGCTTGGATACCATCATTGGCATAATAAAGGTAATCACAAGGAATTGTACTTTACTCATTTCTAATTTGGTTGATACTGCATTCAACCACTTCTCGGGTATCTGACAGGTGAATTAACTCTTCTTTGTTTATCTACTGCTACACAACTACATGCTACAGTGGTAAGTACAGGACAAGCAGATGGGTGGTCTGGAGGAGGAGAGATCCACTGGGGTGTTGGGTGTTGAGGATGTCCAGTGAAGCGACAAACAATCTCAACCTCCACTAAAGAAAAATACAGGAAGTTGGGAAAGACTTTAATATCTCAGGCCCTTTTTCTGGGTACAGAGAGGGTTGGGTAGAGTAAGGGGAGAAGCTGGATGTACGGCTCTGTGGGCTCTGACCAGACTTTGGCAATGGATCCAGATTTTGTCAAGTTTCTGTGGATTGGCAATCTTTCCAGGAAAATGGCATGCCACAGACAAAAGGCATCCTGAAGTCACCCAGAGATGATGCCTAGAAGAGCCACAGACGACTCAAGCAGCAAACAGTGTGGCTTAAAGAGTGGGAACAAGTAGGTAACACAAACAAAACAGCCTTCTCTTTCCCCAAACTGCTTTTCTATTGAAACCACTAAATCTTAATGAGTTTACTAGCCCTCTAGAAATGAGGGCAGGTAATTGCAACATTACTCACAGGATTCAAGTTTACCACATTAAACTCAGAAGAAAAGCCAATTATGATGGCTCAACTCACTGGAGATACTGTAAGATATAATGAAAATATAGTTTTAAAAAAGAAAGAAAGGAAGAAAGAAAAAAAAACAGTTTTTGATAAGCAGTTCTAGAAGTCCAGATCATCCTGGTCAATCTCATTAGTGTCTTCTTTCTTTTTAGAAACCTGAACTTCATCTGTAGGTTCACCTGCCTTTGGATCTGCACCTTCAGCATCTGCCTGGTCCTCTTCTCCTAAAGGATCAGTGCCGGAAGATTCTTTGTCCTCTTTATCTTCCTCATAGGCAGGATACATCTGTGAGGGTTTGCTGTTCTCATCACTTGGAACCTCACCAGTGAGGTGGTTGTTCATGGGTTTGTCATCATCTTTTAATTCCTCTTCATCTTCAGACCCTTTCAGGGATTGCTGTGAGAAGTTTCCCATAGAAGAATGAAGAGTAAACATGGCTGCTTTTATCAGAGTCTTTAGCTTTTTAGTGGCCATTTTGTCTTTGGCCATTGAGACTATCTCAGAAACCTCGTCGTTGCCTTCATCTTCCTCTTTTCCATCTGCCTTATCAGAGTCAGCACGGTTAGGTTCCTCATCATTCTCATCGTATTTGTCATCCCTTTCACTGTTGTTTTCCTCCTTAGCTGAACACACCTCATTTTCTGGCTCAGGATTTGCATCTTCCACTGCCTCAGCTTCATCCTGCTCAACCTCTTTACTTTCTTCTGCAGTATTGCCTTCAGGATTGTTGTCATTTCCAGAGTCATCAGCATCTTCTCTCCAATCGGATGTCTCTCCCTCATCATCAGCCTCTTCTGCGTCATCAGCGCCAGTATCTCCATCCTCTGGCTCCTCTGCTTCTTCAGCTTCATTGTCAGCTCCATCTCCTGCTTTGGATATCTCTTCAACTTCCTGCTCTTCATTTTGAGTATCTTCTTGTTGTTCTTCCTCTTTTGCTTCCTCCTTCTTCACTTCCTCCTTTGCTTCCTCCTCTTTTGCCTCTTCTAATTCTTCCATCTCCTTTGGGTTTTCTTCCTCTTCTTTCACTTCCTTCTCTTCTTGTTTTGTTGCTTCCTCACCTTCTTTTGCTTCTTCATCTTTCTTTGTTATTTCTTCTTCTTTTTGCACTTCTTCCTCCTTGTCTTTTGTTCCTTCTTCCTCCTTCTTTGTGTCTTCCTCTTCCTTTGTTTCTTCAACCTCCTTGTTCACTCCCTCCTCCTCTTCCACTTTTGTTTCTTCTCCTTCCTCCTTCACTTCCTCTTCGACCTCCTTCTCTTCCTCCTCTTTTGCTTCTTCCTCTTTCTCCTTCACTTCTTCCTCCTCTTCCTCTTTTCCTTCTTCCTCTTTCTCCTTCACTTCTTCCTCCTCTTCCTCTTTTCCTTCTTCCTCTTTCTCCTTCACTTCTTCCTCCTCTTCCTCTTTTCCTTCTTCCTCTTTCTCCTTCACTTCTTCCTCCTCTTCCTCTTTTCCTTCTTCCTCTTTCTCCTTCACTTCTTCCTCCTCTTCCTCTTTTCCTTCTTCCTCTTTCTCCTTCACTTCTTCCTCCTCTTCCTCTTTTCCTTCTTCCTCTTTCTCCTTCACTTCTTCCTCCTCTTCCTCTTTTCCTTCTTCCTCTTTCTCCTTCACTTCTTCCTCCTCTTCCTCTTTTCCTTCTTCCTCTTTCTCCTTCACTTCTTCCTCCTCTTCCTCTTTTCCTTCTTCCTCTTTCTCCTTCACTTCTTCCTCCTCTTCCTCTTTTCCTTCTTCCTCTTTCTCCTTCACTTCTTCCTCCTCTTCCTCTTTTCCTTCTTCCTCTTTCTCCTTCACTTCTTCCTCCTCTTCCTCTTTTCCTTCTTCCTCTTTCTCCTTCACTTCTTCCTCCTCTTCCTCTTTTCCTTCTTCCTCTTTCTCCTTCACTTCTTCCTCCTCTTCCTCTTTTCCTTCTTCCTCTTTCTCCTTCACTTCTTCCTCCTCTTCCTCTTTTCCTTCTTCCTCTTTCTCCTTCACTTCTTCCTCCTCTTCCTCTTTTCCTTCTTCCTCTTTCTCCTTCACTTCTTCCTCCTCTTCCTCTTTTCCTTCTTCCTCTTTCTCCTTCACTTCTTCCTCCTCTTCCTCTTTTCCTTCTTCCTCTTTCTCCTTAATTTCCTCTTCCTCTTTTCTTCCTTCCTCCTCCTTCACTTCTTCTTCGACCTCCTTCTCTTCCTCCTCTTTTGCTTCTTCCTTCTCCTTCACTTCCTCCTTTACTTCCTCCTCCTCTTCCACTTTTGTTTCTTCTCCTTCCTCCTTCACTTCCTCTTCCTCCTTCTCCTCCTCCTCCTCTTTTTCCTCCTCCTCTTTTGCTTCTTCCTCTTTCTCCTTCACTTCTTCCTCCTCTTCCTCTTTTCCTTCTTCCTCTTTCTCCTTAATTTCCTCTTCCTCTTTTCTTCCTTCCTCCTCCTTCACTTCTTCCTCCTGTTCCTCATTTCCTTTTTCTTCTTCCTGCTTCACTTCCTCTTCGACCTCCTTCTCTTCCTCTTCTTTTGCTTCTTCCTTCTCCTTTGCTTCTTCCTTCTCCTTCATTTCCTCCTTTGCTTCCTCCTCCTCTTGCTCTTTTGTTTCTTCTCCTTCCTCCTTCACTTCCTCTTCCTCCTCTTTTGCTTCTTCATTCTCCTTCACTTCCTCCTTTGCTTCCTCCTCCTCTTGCTCTTTTGTTTCTTCTCTTTCCTCCTTCACTTCCTCCTTTGATTCCTCTTCCTCTTTTGTTTCTTCTCCTTCTTCCTTCACTTCCTCTTCCTCCTTCTTCTCCTTCTCCTCCTCCTCCTCTTTTTCCTCCTCCTCTTTTGCTTCTTCCTCCTTCTCCTTCACTTCTTCCTCCTCTTCCTCATTTCCTTCTTCCTCTTCCTCCTTTATTTTATCTTCCTCCTCTTTTGCTTCTTCCTCCTCCTTTACTTCCTCTTCCTCCTCCTCTTTTGCTGCTTCCTCCTCCTTCACTTCTTCCTCCTGTTCCTCATTTCCTTTTTCTTCTTCCTGCTTCACTTCCTCATTTCCTTCTTCCTCTTCCTCCTTTATTTTATCTTCCTCCTCTTTTGCTGCTTCCTCCTCCTTCACTTCTTCCTCCTTTTTTGCTTCTTCCTCCTCCTCCTCCACTTCCTCTTCCTCCTTGTTGGTTTCTTCTTCCTCCTCCTTTGCTCCCTCTTCCACCTTCTCTTCCTCCTCTTTTTTTTCCTCTTCCTCCTCTTTTGCTTCTTCCTCCTCCTTAATATCTTCCCCTTTTGTTTCTTCCTCCTCATCCACTTTCTCCTCCTGTTTGTCTTCTGTTTCTTCCTCCTCGTCCTTCTCTTCAACCTCTTTTGTTTCCTCCTCTTTTGTTTCCTCCTTGTCTTCTGCCTTCATAATTACTTCTTCCTCTTTCGCTTCTTCCTCCTCTTTTGCTTCCTCTCCTCTCACTTTCATTTCTTCCCCTACTTCTTCTATGTCTTCCTTTTCTTCTTCTTTTGTTTCTTCATCTTTAACCTCATCCTCCATCTCACAGTTTTTACTCTCTGATATTTCAGGTCCTTCTCCATTTCCATTCAATGTTGAGCTGTCCACCTCGTCGAGTTTTGGCTCCTTTTCTTCATTGCCCTTCGCTTCCGTTTCACTTGGCTGGAAGTCACCCTCATCATTCTCCTCCTTTTGATTGTTATTTTCTGCTGCTTCCTCCACAGAGTTTCTGGTAATTTTTGTGATGTCCTGGGCTGCTTCTGAGACACAGGCTTCCTCATTTTTCCTCAGCCTCAGGATTTGCTGTAAATCAAATGCTTTCACAATTGGGGCATTGGTGGCCACCACTGGGTTTCTTATGGGCTTGGAAGCTATTTTTTTCCTCACACAAGTGTCACATGGGCAGAATTCCTCCTCACTTGTTTGTTTACTAATACTGGCCTCAAAAGCTGCATTAAAGGCTTCATCATCACCTACATCAAATGATAAGTCTGAGGTGTCCTCTGGCATACTCTGGTTTCCATTTCTATGCATAGACTGCAACCGCCGTCTCCTCTCCTCAGTTTGTTGACTCAAGGTTGACTCACTCTTGGGTGATTCACCTGGAGGTCTTGATGTCTTCTCCTCTGCTCTGGCTTTAATCTTCCTCAGCTCCTTTTCTATGCTTTTCTGTATCCTTTTGCTTACTTCTTCCTTCAGCTCCAAAATCATTTCATCCATCTGCTCGTTGTTCTGCAGGTTCCACCTGACTTTGACCTCATCCATGGCACTGACATAATGAGCCATGAACTCCTTCTCAATTTTCTTGAGCAGTTTCAGGACCCAGGTTGGGTCTGGTTCCATTGAGTTTTGCTGAGTAATGGATGAGTCCACACTGGTGGCCACGTCAACATTGGGCTTTGGATCATCTGGAGACTCTTTTTCAAGTTGCTCTTCCAAATCAGCTTTCAGTTCTGTTCCACAATCAGCATTAATGGCATTTATATCATCAGCAATAGCTAGCTGATCAGTTTCCTCTTCAAAATTTTCATCATTTACAGCTTCAGCTTCTTCTTGTTCTCCATTTTCAGTTAACTTGCTGTTTTCTTCATTTTCTTTTTCTTCCCCTTCCTCCTGACCATTTTCACAGTTGCTGCACTGATTTTCCCCCTTCTCTTCTGCTTCCTGAATTAGAGATTCCTGTCTGGTAGACTCTGCTTTCTCCTTAATTTTTGAGCAAGCTGTTGAAGGTCGGGATGACTTCTCTTGCTTGTGAATTTGCTCTTCAGCCTCAGTTGGTTCAATGCCAGTCACTACATTTTCCACTTGTCCAGCTGCTTTAACTTCAGCAGTTTTCAGTGCTGTTGAAGTGCAATCCCTGGTGCAATCTTCTCCTGAGCCACCAGAACCACTGTTAACATCGACCCCAGAGGAGGACATGGGAGTGAAGTCATTGTCTACAGATGCTTGGGCTTTACACCCAGGGGCTGTCTTTGCCTGCTCACTTGCCTCTTGATCTGGACTTGAAACACATTTTTCATCTGTGCATCCAAACCATAAGGCTTGAAAAATATTTAACAGGTCCAGATAACTTGGCTTACTCAAACGTTTATCTGCTGGATCTTCTGATTCTTCATCAAGGAGTTGGAGACTGGCAAGACAAGTAATCAAAACGTTGGCAGAGTTACTCAGTTTTTTCCCCATAGTGGGGGACATTTCAGGCAAACTGTTTGATCGGTCAAATTTTGATTCGTATTTTGAACTGAGCAAGGCCTTCATGATCTGGACAGAGGTCTGGACTGAGGTTGGCAGCTCTTTTTGGTTGGTGTTTTGGCTGGATGTAACTGGTGGGTTGCATTCTCCCTGGACACATTCTGCTTGGTCACATTCTGCTTGGTCACATTCTGCTTGGTCACATTCTGCCTGGTTACATTCCTCCTGGTTACATTCCTCCTGGTCAACCTTGGCAGCTTCTGACACAGACACAACCTCAGAGATTTGCTCCCGATTCACACATTCTTCAGCCTCTTCATTATTAGCAGTGTTTTCTGCTGTCTCTTTTCCCTCTTCATTCTTTGCTTCATTTTCAGTTTCCTCTACGTTCTCTTTCTCAGCTTTTTCATCCTCTGAGGCTTCCTCTGCATTTGTGCAGCCAGATACCTCAGTGGTTGCCTCTATACATTCTTCTTCTGCACAATCATTCATTTCATATTTCAGTAGTAATACTTCTGTAGGGATTTTATTTAGCCATTCTTGCACAACTTCCTCTGGAGATGCATTTGGTAGAGTAGATGGCATTAACTCACTCCCTTCCTCCTGAATGCTCACACCTTCTAAATCTTCATTCTCTTTTCTGCTGCAAGAGTCATTAATCTCTTTATTTTTCTCATCATATACTTTGCTTGCAGCTGATTTAGACCCATAAGAAGTTGCTATGGAGGAATCTGATATTTCTTTTTGCTCTTTTCCTGTGGCCAGCACTGATTCAGTACCTACACTGCTAACGGAGTAATTCTTCACCATGTGTGACTGTGATTTTTTTCTGTTTGGCTTCCCTTTTGGTGGGGCAGGGCAATGCAGGCTACAGACTGACAAAGTGTCAGACAGTGATGCTCGACTGGAGTTTGCCATCTTCACATGAAGATTTCTAGTTTTTAACTGCCTTGATTTTGAAGACTGAGATATGTTTGATTGTGAACACCTATCATCACTCTCCTGAGAAGTCTGTATCAACAAGCATTTATCTTTTATTTCTGATTTTGAAGAGACTCTTGAAGAGACACTTTCAGGATATCCGTTCCTAGGCACAGCCTCGGTCACATGGTCACATTTTGAACACACACTCTCACTCATACTTCCTTGTCTTGAAGAAGGGGCCTCTGAATTCATCTTGGAATGGCCCTGTCTAGCACTTCCATTAGGGCTTGAAACACTTGAGCAGGGGGATGATGAATTGCTGTTTTCTTCTATATGGCTTCTCTTCCTTGAACTTCTTGAGGACTGACTGCAGCAATTGGTACTTTTCGAGCTTTTCTCCTCAGCAAAACCTCCTGTTACCTCTCCTTCATTAGAAACTGAAATGCTTGAGTGAAAAGATCCTGAGTTTTGAGACCTGGAGTCTCCAATAGATTTTTTCGTGATTTCATGTGAGCTTTTGGAGTAATTAGTTGCCCTGCTGCCTGATCTCATATCACCTGCATATAGGGAGTTATTCTTTTTATTTGCAGTAGATCCAACCGAAGACACAGACATTTCAGACCGTGCATCCAAATTAATATGGCTGTGTTTGCTCTTCTTGGATGCTCTGGAAGAGCAAGAAACGTTACAATTTTCAACCTCATCATTGTCACTTCTCTTGCTGTTCCTGTCACTAGCTCTGGAATGAGGAGTTCCTTGTCTAGAGCACTGTTCACCTTCACTGCCCTCATCTCTAATTGGTTGGCTGGCCTTTGATTTTGCTGACACTGAGCCAACCTCACTGATTGCCTGTTCTTCTTGTTCTGCTCCAACTTCTTCAGCCTTCTGGGGGTGGGATTCGTTGGAGAAAGAGACCATTGCATTGTCATTAGAGCTCTTGGAGTAATTAGATGCCCTGCTGCCTGATCTCGTATCACCTGCATGTAGGGAGTTATTTTTTTTATTTGTAGTGGATCCAACTGAAGACACAGACATTTCAGACCGTGCATCCAAATTAATATGGCTGTGTTTGCTTCTCTTGGACCCTCTGGAAGAGCAAGAGGCATTGCAATTTAAATCCTCTCCATTGTCACTTCTCTTGCTATTCCTGTCACTAGCTCTGGAATGAGG